GAGCCTGGTGAACTGTCTTTCCAATTGTCAAAGATTTTCCATCACTTCTCACATTATTTTGGTCTCAATTGTATGTAGGAAAACACTGAAGTCCATATTTATTGGGAACACTTTCCTTTATTTCTGGCTTTTTTTTTTGTCTTGCAACTTTTAAAGAAAACAAAGGCTTCAATTCAAAAATCTATTTGTGAAACAAAAGCATGTAGAGAGAGAAGCTGTAATAAGTACATCATCAGGATCTGCTACCCAGGCAACACAGGGGATGGCCATGTTTTGCCTGCTTCCCAGAATATTGCAAACTACTGTTTCAGCAATGAGCACAAGATCAGTTTCTGCTTGTTCTAACACAAGGGGAACCACAAAAGACCAGTGTAGTTAAGGCTGGGCTCTCTACTGTTGATCATTAAGCACTGACACAAATACCAGATCCTTTCTTCTCCTTCCTCTGAGCCATGACTAAATCCTCAGCTTGAATTTCAAACCACAAGTCCTGCAGTTTCCAGTAAATACTGAATATTTAAACATACGCTATTTAAAAATTATATGGTAAAGAAATGCTGTTTCTTGTAATTGGCTTGAGAATTATAGAAAAAGCTGTAGGAAAGACAGCTGCTTGTATCTCAAAGGTGTTAGGACTAGTAAAAATCCTGCTTACAGCCAATGTTGACCACAGACATTGTTTTCAAGTCCTTTGCCACAAACACATAATTCTGTAAATGCAGGAAAATAACTCTCTAGTCTTTTACAGTCTAGTCTCCATTCCTGTTTTCCAGCATTTCCAGGAGCTAATCAAGGGTTGAGACGAGCTGGTAGCTGTGGTCACAACCCAGGCTTATTAACCCAAGCCAAGCATTAATTAACAGAAAGTACCCTCCTCTGATGTTCTTGTTGCTGATACAAGCTGAAAATGAAAGAAGCCATGTATAGTAGGTGAAAGGCTTTATATTTCCATTACTGCTGTTTCCTTTATAGGAGGTTTCAACAGAGTTAATGCCTTTACTGTACCTTAGCCAATCCAGCTCAATGTCTAATGTCTACTTCTTCAGTAATATAACATATTCTGCTCTCTCCATTACAGATTATGTTTATAAATCATATAATCATATCCAGAATCCTGCTTGATAATCATCGCTTAGGATTGGAAGTATAAGGCTTTTTTTAGGCTTTTTTTCTGAATGCACAGTCACAGAAACATGCTGAGATTTTGTGGGAGGAGGAATCTAGTGCTGAAGAATAAAATACCAAGAATGTCTTGAGTCTGGAAATAGAAAATAATTAATGTGATAAGGAGAAGTTATTTTTCTGAATATCACCTCATAGATGATCAGCACCATGAATGTGTTTAAAACCACTTATTTAGCAAGCCTAATTTTTCATTTCAAACACAATTGATAGAAATAGATGGATACTGATAGTTCCCTTTCATTTGATGCTATCTGTGTTAAGCAGCTGATTTGACTATGGCTGTGTAGTTGTTTGAGACAGATTTTTTAGTATTGCTCTTTCCTAGTATAGGCCCTAAGGAGAGGTTGAATTTTCTGATAATAACCATTCAGCTGCTCTCAATATTTTAAAAGAACAAAATTATGGCATAGCCAAATTAGTTCCAGAAGGCAATAAATGTGCTGGCTTTTTATCACCCTCACATATTCGGAGAGAAAATTACTTTTTTAAAAGGAGACTGAATGGACAAGGCAAATACCAGGACTACAACCCTGGAGCTCAGGAGAACACCCTCTACAGGGATCTTTTTGGAAGAAGTCCATGGGAGATTATCCTGAAAAAAAAAAAAAAGAGAAGTCCAGAAGAACTACTGATTCTCCAGGATCATCATCCTTTAAGCTCAAGAACTGTCCATCCTGACAAGTGGAGTTTTGCCATCTTGGTACAACTCAGACATACAAAGATGGCAATCAGTTAAAGGTTGGACTCAATCATCTTGGGGGTCTTTTTCAATATTTATGATTCCATGAAACATAAAAGAGGTGGAAGCAGAGTCAGTTGACCCTGTGCAGGGGTTGGATAAGGAATGGAGAGAGTGTCTGAGAATGCAGGGACAGAGATCGGAAATCAGAAGCCCACCTAAGCCTAGAAAGGGATTTAAAGGCATTAAAGAGACTTCTATAAGTATATCAGCAGCCAAAAGAAGACTAAGGAAAATATGGGTCTTCTGCTGAATGGGACATAGAAAAGGCTCACTTACCCAAGGCCTCCCTCCATCACTTTTGTCTTTATGGAGAAAATCTGCATACAGTAAACTAAGGTCTCTGGAACCAGAGACGAAATTTGCAGCTATCAACATTTATCTTCAGCAGAGGGATATAAGGATAGGGAAACATTTAAACAAATCAGATGTACAAAAGTTAAAAAAACCTGATGGAATACACATAGAAGTCCTGAGGGAGGGGCAATGAGAATGTCAGATGTTTCTCAATTATCTTTGAAAGTTCATGGTCCTTAAAAACTGCAAGAAAGAAAATGGTAGCACCTGTCTTCAAAGAGGATTCAGAGAAATATAGGTCAGTCAGCATTATTTCAATCCTTGAGAAGAGAAGATGATGGAGAAAAAAATGTGGAAGCCCTTTGCAAACATCTCAAGGACAGGAAGATGACTGGAAGCTGTCAGGATGGATTTACAAAAGGGATATCATGCTTACCAACTTGATAGCCTGGTAATTTGCAGATGGTAGTGAAGTGGAAGGAGTGGTTGATACACCAGTTGTTTGTACTGCCCTCCAGAGGAACCTCAACAGGCTGGAGAAGTGAGTTGGCAGGAATTTCATAAAGGGTGACAAAGGGAAATGCAAAGTTCTGTACCACAAGAGGAATAATCCTATGTACTGATGCAACCAACCAGCTGGAAGGCAGTGCTCTGGCAAAAGATCTTGGAGTCCTGTGGGATGCAGAGTTGACCATGAGCCACTGTGTGTGCCCTTGCAGGAAAGAAAGTCAACAACCTCCTCGGCTGCATTAGGAAGAGCGTTGTCAGCAGGCCAAGGGAATTGATTCTCCCTCTGTACTCAGCACTGATCAAACAGACCTGAAGTTCAGTCCTGGACTCCCTGAGACGATTGGATAGTGGATATACTGGAACAAGTCCAGCTAAAAGCCACAATGATGATTAAGGGCTTGGAGTATTCAATATACCAGGAGAGGCTGAGAGAGATGGGAGTGTTCAGTCTAGAGAAGAGAAACCTCAGGAGGGATCTCATCAGCAGTTGTAAACACATGATTGGTGGGGGTAAAGAACACACTTCTCAATATCAAGGAACAGGGAAGAAGCACAAATTGAAATACAGGAAACTCCATTTAAACATTAACAAACCCCCTTTTTTACTTGGAGGGTAGTAAAAAACTGGAATACGTTGCTTCTTGAGATTGTGGAGTTTCCTTTCTTGGAGATATTCAAACCCTAACTGGACATGGTCATGAGCATACTGCTCTAGTTGATTCTACTGTGCCTGTGCTTGGAGGAAACAAATTCCAAATATGCTCTCCAACCACAGCAGTTCTGTGAAAACTTTGATTTGGGCCATGGTCATTCAAATGCATCCACGTTGGCTCCCAGGCTTACATTATGCTTATTTCAGGTCATTTTCACAAATAAACCTTTCTCCATCAGCAAAGGAAAGAAATCGTAGCCAGAATTATCGAGGGGTCTTTTTACCTCAATCTTGGCTCAACAAAACAGCTGAAAGAGGAAAAGCAGTTTTTTGAGAGGGTTTATGTTTTTGATGCAACAGGAAACTACAGGGAAAAACTGAGGAAAAGATGTTGAACAATCACACAGGAACCAAATCTTTTCAATGGAGAAGAGCTCCTAAATGTGTGAGAAATAGAATGAATGAGAAGGTTTTGCAGAAGGAGATTCAGGAAGTAACAACGGTGTTCCAAATATGCTGGACTGAAAAAGCTGGTGACAAAAGGAAAGACTGCTTTACTTACAAGGCTCTGTCTTTCTGTAAATCATCAGCCAAATATGGTGATGAAATCTGGTCATCGTATTTCATAAAGGATTAAAACAGGTAGCAATAATAGGAGGATAATAATAATATAGAAAAAAGATATAACAGTCATAACTCCTAGCCCTCTGAATTCCATTAACCACATTAGCACTTAATAATCTAATGCTTCTCAGAGAATATTGAAGCACTTTCAAAGAAGATCCATATCACTACCCTAGATTTACATGGAAGGGATATACAAGATGAGTTGCCGTGTAGTGTCACCCAGAAAATCAATTGCATATTTTGTCTGCACATCTTTGGGTTTGTTGAAATGCTTAATGACAGCTATATAAATATTTTACTAACTGGCCAGTTAAACAATGGCTGCTGTACATTCCTCTCACATTGATTCAACTTAGTAAGCAAGCAAGGTGAGTAGGATTTTTGCACTGCAATAGGAAATCAATCCCATTCTAAGTGTAGCTTGGTCTAGGTGACTGCCTTGGCAGAGGAGCTGGACTAGCTGATCTCCAGAGGGCCCTTCCAACCCAAACTATCTGTGATTCTGTGTAAATGAAGTTCAGAGATGGTTGTTCCTTCTATTGTTTGGTGGGAAGGCACAGCCATTTGTTTGATGTTATCAGGAAGCTCTACCAGCCTGGTCTCAACATAGGCCTGTGAATGTCCTCAGTACACCCATGCTGGTTGTTGAGCTTGTTCAGCAGCTGAGGGTTTAAAACACAGACACCCCATAAACTTCACCCATGCTTTTAACTCACCAATTTCAGAGAGAAATATGAGAAACAACTGTATGTATCTTTCTGCATATCTAACCCTCCTTCCCCATTTTGAACATGTGGCCTTTGTATTGCAGCTTTATGCTGTATTTGTCTCATGGACACACACAGGTCTCAATTCCTGCATTCTTCACCAAAAGAAACCATCTTTGACTTATGAAATCAGTGCTCTGGCGTATTTTTGTCTGCTAATCTTTCATAATGCTTTTAAATACAAACATGGGGTTTAATAATTTCTTTTTTTGTATCATTTCAGAGAAAAAATTATCTCTACAGTCTTTCTTCCAATGTTTCCTTTGAAGTTAAGAGCATGCCATATAAAGTGCAACCAGCAAAGCTCCCTGAGGGAAGCATAGCAGTAAGTAACTGAAAATTACATCTTTGTGTGAAGCACATGTATTTGGTCACTCTGATCACAGCTGTGAAAGTTCTTATAGATGAAAATATTGAGATTGGTCTTTCCTGTGTTTCTAGTGTAAATTCCTAAAGTAATACCTAAAGGAAATAACTTCATTGCTTTCTGTGGAAGTTGATGATACATGATTCTTATTACATTTTAAAATAATTTCTTCCTGAACTAATGTGCAGACTGCTCTATTGCTATTCAGATGGATTTTGCACCCAAAAGAAAACAGAAATGTGAAAGCAAGTATCTTGTTACTTTGTTTGGGGTAAAAAAAACTGGAGGAAATTTGTATGCAAAATCCAAATCATGTTTCTGTCAGGTTTAGAGAGCTCACTCTTCTCCCAGTCAGCAGTTCTTTCACACAAGCTTGTGTATTGTCTACGGCAATTTCTCTCTATCTGTTTTAATCTTCTTTGATACCCTGATTTTCAGGAAGGTCTGTATGCCTTTCTAGGATTGCCACCTCACAGCACATCAAGTGCAAGCATACAAATTTACTTGGTAATCCTTAGAGAAATGATGATAGATAGAGGATAGATAGATAGATAGATAGATAGATAGATAGATAGATAGATAGATAGATAGATAGATAGATGATAGATAGATAGATAGATGATAAATGCTAAAGCATTTGTCTTATTTGCAGGCCAAGATTTGTATGGCTCTGTAGTACTATATGTAACATTAATTTTGGAGACATAAGTTTGATTTAATTGTTTTCTGGTGCCAAAGGATTGAGTTTGGGGAGCACTTTAAAGTAATTTGTTTCTTATGGTTAAAAGTCACATGGTTTAACATGGTTAAAATTCACTCTATTTTGTCATTGATAAAGATATTTTGTCTGTTTTGTCAACAATAATGGTAAGTAAAATATGAAGGCAAAAACTGATTCTAGTATAAGAGTAATCTGAAATTTTAATGCTTAATGTTCTCATCTTTATAAATATTCCTCAGTTACAGTCCTTCTTTCGAAAGGTAAGCTCAGTTCAAACTTTGCCAAATTGAATTGTGTTGAAAGTACATCATACCAGTCGGTTGAAATGCAGTAATAGGGACAGGATACTGTCTTTCTTAGAAAACCAACAGAATAATACACTTCAGAGCTTACTTTGAGTATATTTTAGAGGATACAGGCTCTCAAGTTTTGTTTTGTACATGCACAGATGGAATGGTTGATTGATACTTGCTCTGGGAAGACACAAGGTGAAATCCTGGTTCTGTGTGCACAGTGACTCTAACCTCCACCATCAGTAGATCCCTGATTTCACTAGAGAGGATTGGTGCTTAATGCAGTATTCATCCAGAAAGGTTCAAAGGCACCAAGCTGACAGATATACTTGGGCTTTTTTATTTTCTTGCAGCATGTGTTCCATACCAGAAACACATGTGCAGAGTTCTGTTGATAGTGGGGCCTTCATCTGGGCTGGAGTGCTTTACCCCAGGTGATAGCCTGCTGTTCTCAACAAGTGTCAGATGATCTACCAAATGATCAGATAAGCATTTCATTCTCTTACTCCAGCCAGTATAAAGCTTGTTATTTGCAGCAGATGATTTACAGCAAAATGCCTGTAATGGCAACTGTAAAATGTTGAAAAATGATAACGCTTTTATGTCCTTTCATATCTGGACATGGCAGTGGATGCTTGCCAGCTCTACAGCTTGATGTGTTATATGCACCAGTTCTTTGATGTTCCACTTGCAAGAAGAAATATTTCCTTGAAGTTGGGCAAAGCTTAATATTTTTGCTCCTTCTGAAAAAGATCACTAGTTGTGTTTTAAAAGCTTCCAAAGATTTACTTAAAGGTTTATGATTTTCCTTCAGACAATGAAAGGGTGGTAGTGGAAGAAAAATTTAAATATTTTTAAAATCAATTTTCAAAAGTATATATCTAATAATCGGCTAGCATTTGAAAGTTTATGTAAAGAAGATAATATATTTTAAAGAATAGAGCATATGTCCTTCATTTAATTCATATAGGGCTGGATTCCAATTAGGCAGGCAGATATTTACTTTAAGTTTTAATGGCATGAGTAATCCCATACCCATCAATAACCTACAGAGTCCTATTTGTAGTTCTAAGGACTTTATCATCATGGAATATAAGTCTTGGACACACAGATCTTGAAGACAGGATCATGATACAAAGGTGTGTGAAACATTAGGTAAATGTAAGAAAATCTGGATCTTTTATAGTAAAACATTAGAATGAAAATGCATCAAACAGAAAATTGGCATGGAGTTTAAACCAGAATCCACTGACATCTATAGTATATATAGTATTTCCATTAATTTTGATAGTCTTAGAGTTGCAACCATATATTATGCAACTGGTTGGATTTCCTTGCTAATAGCTATTTCATTCAAGAGAAAATTTTCATTTTTTTTGCTACAAGTATTATTGTGGTAAATAATACTGTCTTACTTGGTGAATTTCATGTGCAACATGAAAATACTTTCTATTGCAAAATACAAAGTTAGAATAAGCAGAAATTTGCTTTTTTAAAATGTATGATTCTTGAGCCGGTTTGGGAGTTTAATAAAATATGGTTTACTTTTCTTAAACATTTGATAGGACTTTCACTGTGGATACCTTTAGTCTAAACTGTTTGACCAGTGTCCTCCAGTGAGCACCATTGGTTTCAGACTAAGGCCTATAACTTTTTTTAGTTATTACATGTTGATAGCATTTTAAACAAGCTTATATTCCTTATGAAATGTATTTGCATAAACATTTGCAATTTGTAATTATAAATGTGACTTCAAGCTTGAGGGAGCTTTTACATTCTATATTGAGCATTTTTTGAGAACATAAGAACATCATGCTGTAATGGTTGGATGGGGACATGTAGGAGGACAAAAGAATTCCTGTTTCTCAGCCTCTGTAAAGAAAATTTCTGAAGACTAAAGGAAGGTCATCATGGGCAGCAAAAGCAGTAGCACTAGAATAATAATTAATTTACTAGCTGTTTAAAGTAGAAGAATAAATTATGGAGAAGTTATTTTTATTTTTTGAAATGTGTCTTTTAAAGAACCAGGGAGAAAAAAAATAACTTTGTGAGAATCCCACTGGCATGCACTGAATTTTGACCACAGGCGCTGGAAGTTTGCACCAGTCAAACCTAATTCCCATCTATACATTAGGAAGTACCAGTGAAGCAGCAGATTACTTCATGTGCTTCTCTCTGCTTTGCACCAGAGGAATCAAAGACTGTTTTGAAGACATACTAACACCAAAATCAGAAGCAATTCCAAATTGAATGAAATACAGTGGCAAAAGCCCTAATAATTATTTTATATACTTACAGTGAGCTTAACTATGGCACATTTTTTAAAAGGCACATTTTTAAAAGCCTCCCCAGAAGAACACTTTCATAAGCAACAAATGACTTTCATGGAACTGCAAGAGCGGTTATGAAGTTAAGACTGTCTGACATCATCTGTGCTAAGACCAGTGTGGATGTTATTTCCAATAGCAAACAAAAGCTCTGTCCATAACTCTTGGGTTGACTTCACCCTCATCTCAGTGCCTGAGGCAGCTGGAATTCTCTGGCACCCTTTGGATAACAAAGGTGTGAGATGCTCAGCAGTGTCAGAAGTCAGATGGCTCCTCTCAAGTCTGTGAGATGTGCTCTTCACCCAGTTGACAGAGAAGCAAGCATTGTTTTCAGTGTTCAGCATAAAGTCTTGTCCTGAACAGAGAGGAAAGCTAACACACATCCAAAGTACAGTGTCAACATGCAACACTTGTGTAAAAAATCCACTTCATTTTGGCCACCTTAGATGGAAACATTCCCTGGCTCTGATCCTACAGTACTAAACCTACCACATGGAGAAGAACAGAAATCCAAGCTGAAAACACAAACTTGTTTTAAATCAAAATCACATGTAAAACTGTTGGTGGACAGCATGGGGTGAAGAAGCGACAGTCCTCTGTAAAAATGGTGAAAGAAGGGAAGACAAAACTGAAGGAATGTTTTGTTTGTGTCTTCCCCTCCAGCTTCTGCCTCAACTCTGTGGGTGTTCAGGATGTGCAGTGTCAAACTATTCACAAGAATTGCATTTGTAGCCTTGCAAGGCTTTGTGTAAAGGGGGCAGCCCAGGGCATTATATCCTACTGGTAATGCACACAGGCAGGAGTGAGGCTGATGCCTACATATAATACCCTGCTCAGGGAATAAATTCCAGGTACTTAGCACAACCATCCCCTTTTAAAACCTAAGACAAAGAAAAATCATGGGAAAAGGGTGTGGGTTCGACAGGATGGTTTAAAGATTTTAGCAGGCAAAGATTTCATTAGCATTGGCTACACTCAGAGAAGAGAAATGTGCCAGCTTTGCAGCAGTCTGCTTGATACAAGATAGACCTAATTTCTGCTGTTTTGCTCAATGCTGATAATCTAAGGACTATGAACATGATGCCCTGCTCTTTTATAAGATTACAGATTCTTGTTTATGTATCAACATTTGTCAAGCTCCGGCTGAGCTACTGAAATTAAACCACAAGTTGCACTTGACGGTCTGTAAAGGCAGAATGACAGAAGGAGGAAGGGAGAAATTATTCTGAACACAGGCAGCACAAGCAAGGCTGAGTGCTGCTACACCGCTTATAATTGTTTAGCATCCTCAGGAACATCCACATGTCCTGGTCTGGATCCATGCTGGTAGGTGCTCTGTGGATTTCAGAATAAGAGCTAGATTGTGTTACTGTTTTCATAGCCTAAGAGGAAAGAAAACACAGCACACGAACACAGGAACTGTGTAGAAGTGGCACATAAAAGAAGACATGAAAAGGCAATACGTGTACTTGTAGTTGCATACACTACTGCCAGCTTTATCCAAAATGTAATGAAATCTACCATCTTTAATAAAATAATCTGTTTCCACTGATTTCAGGAGGATCTCAAACATGCTTTGGAGTCTGGATTGACCCTACCTAATTTTGAATGGTGAATTGGCACACATTAAGAGTCAAGTTGTTGCTCTGCTCCTGTACAATCATATGCTGCCCTATGAGCTATTCAGACCTGACACCACACAGCAGCTTACTTCACCCCTGTCTCAGCACCTGTGGTGCTGAAGTAGTTACCTTAACCTTGGGTTAAACTGGATTTGGTACCCAAGGAACCAGATATGGTTCAGTCAAATACTATCTGAAGAAATCTGTAAACCAAAATTCCTTCCTACTCCAAGAAGAATTTGCCCGCTCAGATAATTTCCATATTCAGGATGTAAAATTTCAGTAGACTGTTGTCATGCTTTAAGAGTGGTACTCCCTGGTTTAGTTCTCCCACTGTGACCCTAAACCATGCACTTCTTGCTTGCTTCCCTGCTTTTCCATCCCTCTCAACCTGCAACAGGATGGAAATAAGAATTGAAGATACAAAATGTGAAGATCACGAGTTGAGATAAGAACAATTTACAGGAAACAGCAATGAGATAAGAAAATTAACAGTAACAGCAACAACACTAATGGCAGAGGGTACCAGAAAGGAAAGATTGACAGGGAAGCTTCCTAATATCAGCTCCCTCTGCCAGACTTACTTAGCTGGGAGGAACTTCAGAAGAGACTCCCTTCCCCTGCCTCACATAATAATGTGAGCTGTGATAGAGTAACCTCCAGGTCCTGGTCATGCCTCCTCCAGGCTACTCCCAAAACTTAACCCTTTCCTGGCCAGACCCCAGATGACTGTCCATCTATCAAGAAGTCCATACCTAGCCAGCAGCTTGTCAGAATCTTTTTGTGCTGTTTTACTGATGTTCAACAATCCACTCTGAAGCAGCAGTGTTGGCTCCCATTTCCTCTTGTATTTATCTCAGTCACATTATGCTACCTACGAATTTGGCTGAAGCTATCATTAGCAGAAATGGCAAAATAAAGTCTTTGCATGTAAATGGGTCTTCCCTGTGGTTTGGTCTTGCTGTAAAATGGAGTCACTAATTTCATTAAACTTGAGCCAACAGAAAGCACTGCTTGCCTTTTTTTTTTCTGCTGTTTTACAAATATTTTTTAAGATGGTTTTGGTAAGTAGTCTTTGACATTAGTGCTCCAGATTCACAGCAACATGCTCAAGCAAGTGATAGTGTTATTAGTGTTATGAATAGAAACTGTAGTGAAGCTCAAATTTTAGATGATTAAGATATGCAATCTGTATGTTGACAGTGTCAGGTCCTTTCCAAACAATAATTAAAATTTGTAACTTATGTGTGTAGTACCTCAGAGTTTGCCAACAGAGGAAGGGCACACTGTGAATGAGTTGGGGTTATTTGAATCAGTCCATTTTTGCTGTCTTGGGGCCCATGAATTTTCATCAGCACTTCCCAGCTCTTGTGCTGTATGTGATCAGGCTTGCTTCAGGGCAGTGTTCATGATTTTCTAGCTGCAGAATGGAAATGCTTCTTCCTTGGACAGCTGAGCCCATTGTATTCTACAGGCTTCAAGCAGCCCCTTATAACTGCATCCTTTCTGTTTTCCCTGGTCAATTAACCTTTTACTTGAATTCATCTTTTTCCTTAACTGACTTTTCTTGGGAAGAATCTCCGCAGACAGTTCAGAATGACCCTTCTCTCATTTTCTCTGCCCTTGCATTTTAATGCCACTCTGAGACACAAGCAGAACCATTCAAGAACATTTTATCCTTACTACATGAGCTCTCCTCTAGCTAAATCTAATGATAAAGAGAGCCTATGAAATTTTGCAGTGGTTAGGAAGCAACCCAAAGAGGAGGGCTGGCAAAGGAATGGTATTCCTGCAAAGGCATGATTGATCACTGGACGAGACCATCAGGATATCTGTTGGCACCTAAGGGTGACATTTCACTGGTTGTTTTATTAATGCTGTTTTCCTTAAAGTAATTATTTCTTGTTTTAATTTGCTCTCATATTTATTCTTTTTAGATGTTATCTTTCTTCAAATATTCTAGACTTATGACCATTTAGAGCTGCTCCAAAGATGCATATTATCTGTGTTTGTTAGATCAACGATGGTACGGCCAGCACTGCAAGTACTTCATCTTCAGAGCCAATGTTAAAGTGCAAACACCAGGACTGGGCAGTGTCCTGGAATTTTCTGTGTAACCCTCAGTGTAAGCTTTGGTAGAAAGCAAGTGGTTTCCTACATAGAAAGTTTGCCCCTACATTTGAGGGATACAATAAAAAATACTTGCATCAGTAGAGCTCACCAGACTGCCACCCCTGTAAATGCTGTGTCACAGTAGGGAGCAGTTGGCTGCAGAGATGAAGTGAAAATGACTATTCAAAAGTGTCTTCCAGTTAAGCCTGACAGTAGCTGAAAGACAAATCTGCTGGTGCTTTCAGAAGGAAAAGTCTATCAAAGAATGCTGATAACAAGAAAAAGCGAGAGAAGAAAGGACTGGATGTTGCAGAAAGGATTAAATTATTAAATTTGCCATCTTCAAGGGGAAAAATGAGAAGTAAAGGAATGGAAACAGTTTTGAGCTGAACTACAGAGTTGTGCCCATCCTTAAAAGTTAGGCTGCTGTTCCTTCAATGAACAACTAGAAATTAGTATTTTGTTAAATTTCTAGTGCATCAATCACTAAGGTAATAGAGGAAGAAAAAAACATAGAAAGAAAATTTACAATGAGTGCAGCTTAGGGACTGGACCATAGCCAAGAAACTTATTAAAAAGAGTAGATTTCCTAGAGGTATCTTGAGTACAGAAGAGGAATTTCATTTAAGAGTTTGTCTCTTCAGTTTCTTTGCAAACTGATTTCATCATGTCATAAAGCAAATAACTTCCATCTGTCACATACTTGTCCTAAGGGAGACTAGGAGTAGATGAGAGAGGTCTAAGAGAAAACCCCAGAGAGAAATCACTTCTTAGGCTAACAACAAAGAAAAAAGTTTGAGAAAATAAACTAAGACTGAAGGGATAATATTGTGTTGAAAGAGCTAAGGAAAGCCCAGACTCATTGCTTCCTGCTTGGGAGTAGCAGGGACTGAGCAAATATTTAGTGAGACTAAGGAGCCTTCCAAGCAAAGCCTGAGAGCATATAATGCATTTTGTACAAGGTATGGAAAGGAGAGTATGGAGGAGATTGTGGGTATCCCCAGAAGGAGAAATAGAAAAAGGTTATTACTACTCTTTGTCCACATGAAGATCTACTGAGAGAAGTTTGCCAAGTCAATTAAAACCTTTGATAACTGATGTTAGCCTCTGCTGCTCTGTAGAGCCTCAGACAATGAGAGAGCACGTTTCATGCTTGCTTCCCATTTAGGTAATGATCTGTGTGCTTGGCTTCTTTTCAAGAAGATAGCATCAGAGTGTGTGTTAGGCTTTATCACAAGGACAATACACTCTGCTTGAGTTTCATTTTTGGACTGCTTAGCTGAAATGCAAACCGTAGGAAAAAATGTATACTGCCATGTCAGCAAAAATTAAAATAAGAAAAATGTTGCTGGTATCTACTGTGGTTTGAATTAAGAGTTTGGGCTAAAGTCAACCATTGTTTGTGAGTAATTCAGTGCATTTCAGTGTACTGGCCTAAACTGTACCAGCATGTGCACAGAACTTTGCTCCTGGAATATTTGTGAAGCATCTGCACAGAGGGAATTTTTTTGCCACTCTGTATTATGGGAAAACTATTTCTTTGTCTGGTATGACAAGACTTTTATATATGTGTGAATTCCATTTCTAGTAATTATCATGAACAAGTGGAAAAGAAATTACAATAAATCAAGTCAACATGAGAAAATTTCAGTCAATGTGTATTTCTAATCTGCAAAATGCTCTTGAAATCAATGCTCCTAACCTCTGTTTAGGATCTACTGTTGAACTTGCTTTACTTGCTTCATTTTTGTTCATTAAATGTATTCCTTTCATTGCAGATCAGAACATCTGTCATTTGGTCGACCCCAAATGTGTCCTTTGAGATCCCTTTATGGGTTATAATACTAGCCATTCTTCTTGGACTACTAGTACTAGCTCTGCTGACCCTAGCTTTATGGAAGGTATGTTCCATTTTTCCTGTTACTGTTGCCTTAAAAAAACCACCAAAAACACTGGAAGATTCTAACAGATAAAAAGAGAGGTTAGAATTTTGTGATCTTTAACAGTTCAGAGCAAAAGCAACAGTACACGTGTCTTTTTTGTTTTGGCATTTCTGACATGCTAGTGTCATTGACCTTTATGCAGGGAACTTGTTTGGAAAGTCCTCCTTTATTATGGAAACCTGGTTACAAATGGGCATACAGAGTTTGGCTCTGTTTCCCAAGACCTTTGATCCTCTATTTCAGGATGTTTAGGTTCAAAAAGAAGTTGCTCTAACTTTGTTTTCTCTGAATAATTCAGGAATTTCCAGTTTTTGTCAGCATGGAACAACACTCGCGCTTCTGAGAATTAATTTTTAGAAGATTTCCTTTTATATTAATATATCATATATTTTGTTTAAAATTTTCTATTTTTGTATTGGTTGTTACACTCCTTTCACAAGTTTTAAGACAAATTACTGGAAACTGCTATATTACAAGGAGCCAGTGTAGCTTTTGTCCATCCTCTCAGTTCACATTAAAAATGAGATTCAAATAATTCCTTACATTAGGATATGGTTCATCTGTCTTCAGCTGCCTAAAGGTTATGGTTAGGTCTACAGCCTATGCTAACTTCCCAACTTCATCTGGCAAGGTAGCAGCAGCAAAAAGTTATGTCTAAACATGCAAGGAGGAGAGAAATTACCTTTTGGTGGTACTTTCCTTTAACCACTTTTGAACTTTCAACCTTTCAACTAAAAGAATGAATGTTAGACAGTTTAAGTAAGGTGGGAAGAATCTCACCTTTAGTGATCTTTGGACTAGGTCACAACACTGTCCTGTGAACATTTCCCAACACATATTACACATCTCTTTTGATTACTGCTTGTCAGTCTAAACCTCCTTTCTGAATGAGCACCTTGCTGAACTGAGAGTCCATACCAGCATTCAGGCCAAATTTACATCTCCTACAAAGACATCTTTCATATAATTTGGATTTTTAGAGCTGTGCTTTGGAACTCAATGCCTTGCATCTAAAACTTTCGTAGGGAATGATTTGGATAGAAATAAAATGTCTTCACAGTCTCTCAGCCTGCTATACATTGTGCCCAGCATTTCAGGTTGAACAATCAAACTGCAGCTAAGTCTTCCTGTGGTTGTCTTACCATGACATCTTTGTTTCTGTTGATTTATTCTGCAGTGTGGCTTCTTTGACAGAGCTAGACCACCTCAAGATGACATGGCTGACAGGCAGCAGCTGACAAATAACAAGACTACTGATGCATAAAGGAAGAAAGTGACAGTTCAAGTCAGAATCCTGCCTGAGAGACTAGAAACATGACGAGGATTAAATGAAAAATTCCTTCCAACCAGTCTTCCTTTGTACCTGCAAGTGACATGTTGTCAATCTGATCTATGCAATGTTCTGAGAACACGCCACATGATGGCCATCCTTGCCAAAGAAAGTAACCTATCACTGCCTTACAAACATATTTTCCACTGAACAGAATGTTTATCCCATATTCCAGTCAGTCTACGTTTCAGCAGATGCTTCTGAGCACATGTGGTATGCTGAGATGCTTCCAGAACAAGCCCAGATCTCTCAAGGAGAGAATGCCTTCATTGCTGGATTGGCTAGAAGATGAAGCAGGACAAACCTTCTGAATGCTACTGTATCATGCAGAGTATCTTTGAAACCTCCCTAAGAACTTCTATGAAATTATGGCTCAGGGAGACAGGCAATATATCAGTACTGTGAAAGTACTTCTGAAACACAAAGGTAATCTATAAATACCTTTATAGATGGGGCACAATTATTTATTTTTCCACCTTTTTGTAATAAGTATCTGATATAATCATCAACGTAGATTTTGAGAGAAGGAAAAATAATAGAAATCATGTACTTACTTTGCATGTAAATAGAAGAGTAAATGCATTGTACACCCAGAACACAACCTCCTTGGCTACGAGGTGTTTTGCAAAGCAGAAAATTTATGGAACACTTTACAAGATGAGACATATGATAAGCAAGTACATGTTGTATCTCTTTCAGCCCAGAGCTGGCAGTATCACACCCAGATAACTAAATCCATGCACAATATAGAGCAGGGATGAGTTGCCCTGTTCTTGCTTTGCTGATGGCTGGCAGCTGTACACTGACACAGGTTACAGACATTTCTGAAACACTGCTTTAAATTATCACAGCCACACTGGTGATATTGAAAAGGCTTGGGGGGGTTTGGGGCTGGGGCAAAATTTCTTGGTCTTTACCCCGTTACTTTGTTGAAATCCCCTCTTAAAAAAGAACACCTACTGCCATAATTTTTCACCTAAAGAAATCTTTGCCTTTTTCATTTTTCAATCTACAAGCTGGCAGCATCTTAAAAGTAATGCTTTTGGCAAAGTTTAGGGCTTGATAAAATTATTTTTAAAGTCTCGCAGGAAAGGGTGACAGGATTTGTATTTATGCAGAAAAATAGGATGCCAGCCAGCCAAGCATGAACAAAAAGTAAGAAGGAGATTTTGAAGTAAAGAGTAAAAATACACGCTTAGTTGGTTTTGGGGTTTTTTTTTCTGGGTTTAGGATTCCAAAGAAGGGATGTTTCTATCCTTTCCCTTCTATCAGCAAATGGTCTTTATCTCAGCAGGGGCTCTAAGTCCTGATCTGTGCAAATTTTTATGTGAAAGCTTGAGTCTTTCAGCGCTGCCTGTGAGTGTGAAAATAGCAATATTGTGTAAACTTCATGAGGAATTGTTCATTTTATGAAACATACACACCACTTGCCTTCTCCTTTTCTTTCCAATCCATCTCAGCTTCTCAACTGGTAAATGGCCTAATCCATTCTGCCACTTTTTGGCTCCTTTTAAACAACTGGCCTTCTGCTTCCTAATACTTCAAGATAGGAGTAGTTATGAGACATTGTCACTTCTGCCAGTCTGACACGAGATTTTAAAGTTTTGTCATTTCTTGTATGCAGACTAACCTGGGAAATCCAAGCAGGAGCTGTGTTACATCTTCATAGCAAAGGCAAATTTGCAAGACCTTTATGGAGTCTTTATCTTATCAGATGCAGTGTGCCCACAAGACTTACAGGGAAAAGGAGACATGGGCCTCTGAACACAGAGGTGAAGCACCTGTGTGCTTCACACAAGCAAGTACCTCTGTTTCCTAGGGATGGGGAGGCCTGACAACTTCCCAGTCCTCCAGAAAACCATTAACAGACCCCTTCCCCCAGATGGTTTTGAGCTGATCCCTTGTAGATTAGAGACATCAGCTGATAAATTCCATCGCAAAGCAAGCCTGTCCCGTATTTGCACACCTCTGTTTCCCATACATTTCAGGCAAAATCATCCTTCCATGAAGTACAAAAAGTGAGCTTCCAGCTTTTGTAAATATTTAATTGATGTGTGTAGCAGCTTCAGAAATAATATCAGCAGCTCATTGTAATCACATCATCTGCACAAATGTGATTAAATAGTACCATAAGGAGATACTGAACATAGGACTTTTGTATGTGCAATACTTTATATTACTTATATACCTGAAGCATGTTTACACTGGCATTTGTGGTTGTTTTTTAAACTTTTGAATATACTGATAATGATTACAATAAAGGAAAAAAGGAATGGGGGGGAAAAAGTAAAACAAACACTGTGAAGTTCAGTATTTCTTGCAATGTGTTTTCAATCCTACATTGCTCTGAGGATGGGGCTAGGTGACCTAATAAGTTCTTTGCAGTTGTAACTTCTACAGTTCACTTTTGAGAAATTACTCTCCATTTTAATGATGGGCAAAACATGTTCAGAGACTAAATTTAAACAAAAAAAGAACTTCAGTGACTGTTGGGCCTGGCTGGAATCCATTGGCTGCAGCTGTGTAATGTCACTGGAAACCAAATTAGAGGCACATGATCTGACAAACAGTTACTTTGAGCAATACTTTGTTTTATATTTCTACATCCTTGTAGATTAAACTTCCCCCCTGGAAATGTCTGGAGTTGTGTGTTGTCAAGGACTGTAGTCTATTCCCAGCATTTGTGGATAGTTTTGGCTGCAAATTGCAAACAGCTTTGTGAAGATTTCTGTGTTTCAGTGCTTGCCAAGAGTGTTTATTCCCTGGGGAGATTGCATCCTGGATGTGGACACTTAGCAGGCAGTTGACATAATCTTTCCCCCCAGTATATTAGTGCTGTGCTACATGATAACCTCTGCCACATCCCTACCCGACTGACCTTTTGTTGCAGTGATGTCAGCTTTGTAATGAGTTACTAAATCCAGCTTTCTGTAAATGTAATTCAGCCTTATTCTTCCCAATGTTTGTGGTGAGCTGCTAATTGCAGAGAACATGGGAGGAGTTCAGAGAGCAGGAGAAACAGAAGATTACTTAAAAAATTAGCCTATTAAAACTCTTTATTGCTATGACCACCACAGCAGTCTAGTAAACAGAGAGACATTCATCTTTTATTTCCCATGCTTCTTGCTGAATTTGAGAAAGGCTGTCCAGTTATTTTATCCATACAGCAGACTGTATCATATTTTCTGTTTCATGAAAATTTCAGAATTTTCATACCAGGGATCAGTATATTTTAATATATTTTCTCTTACAGATTTAAATATATTTAGCAAATACAATTTGAATTTCACCACAGGTTAATTTTTTTATTGCCACCATTCTGTAACTCATTTTGAGTTTTTCTATTTCTCACAGCTTTTACAGGTTTTCCAAATTAGACAGCTCTTGAAAACAACACTGATTTTCTCTGTGTTTTAGCTGTGAACTTTCCCTCCATTAGCATGAAAGATCTTCCGGTAGGCATAGTTTTCATTAACTAAAAAGCCTTTTGGGAACCCACAAAACACCTAGAAATACACAGGAGAAAGAAAGCCCCAGCCAGCCATGGCCTATGGTACTCCACTGCAGCAAGCCTTTTTTTAATGAAATACCATCTGACACACTGCCTTTAGGAATTGTTTATGAGTGAGTGTTTTATTTATGATTGTTGGCAAAGATCCATATTAAAGTGTAGCGGAATGGCAGTGCCTCTTAACAATAAAAAGTCTTGAATTCAACTCGTGCAGGCACCATGATGTGACACAGCAGGAATGCTTTTAATATTGAAGGATTGTTCTTGTTTTGCCTGTGTGTTGTACTGGAGAGGCACTTAGCTATTCAAGATGCTACCCTACTGTACACAGTGACTTTTAGAAAAGAATGGAAGTAATTGTTCAAGTCGCTTTTCACATGGTTTTGTTGTTTTCAACATGTTATTCTACTTCACCAATGCACTACATTTCATTTGGTTGTATATTGTTCTTTGTTTCAGCAAGGGTTTGTAAAGCAGCCTTCAGGAACTCTTTCCAAAACTGGACTGTATCAGACAGTATTACTTTTCCAGAAGCCACTCAGGATAACAGCAGCAGAGCAGAATTCTGGATGCTGTGTGAAATGGTCAGTGCATTACAGGGGCTAGCTTGCTTTTCAGGAGTTTACCCAAGTTAATATTTAGAACTGTATTAACAAAATATCAACGTTAGATTCTCCACTTCTCCTGTCAAGGAGAGCCATGGTGTGCCCTGTTTGTCATTGCTGTAAAAGCCAAACACCAAGCAATTCTCACAGCAAAGTTGGGGAGAGAAGGGCATGTTTTAAACTTGCACAAGACAAATGTATAGCAACCAAACCAAGTGTATGGCAAGAGCCCAACCATCATCTCTCTTGTGATGTTCTCCTGGTCACGAAGGTTAACATTTTCCCTGCTGAAGTACTCTGCCCATTTATCACAGACCTGCAGCACCAGAAAATAACCTCTGAAGCTGCAAAAAGTTTCAAAAAGTTTCCGTAGATTTCATAGTCTTTGTAGAAATTTTACATTATGAATTTATAAGGTAGTTCTTGGCTCTTCAGATAGTATAAGCTTGTCTTCAGAGCCAAGAACTACCTTATACTATCTGCTATCTGTTAGCAGGCACCAGCTGACAAACCCCTCAAATGCTGGTGCTCTCAGGAGAAATGAAGCATTTTTCCACATGATCTACTGTCTTAACTTTTGTTCAACTGTTCAGTGCTTCCACCAAGACCTGTGGGGGAAGTGCAGGATTTGGGTGTTGGCATGCCTTTACTATGTGCTAGGTACAGAGTAAATTTGTGGCACAGAAGGCTTGCAGTTCAGATATAAAACAAAAAAAACCTGATTTTTTTTGTTGTTGATCTTTAATATTTTAATAGCATTTGAGAAAAGATAGGTCAGCATATTATGACCTGATAAAGAAAATAGATTTAAACTAACAGTGAAGTCTCCCAGGAAGCCCAGGCTTATATTTGGGTTAATTTTTTTCCATTTTAGGCTTGGAAGAGGCATCAGGAGATAGCTTGGGTAGAGAGCATTCTTGCTTTGTTGTAAAACCAAAACATTTTGTTTTAAAGAACCAGGTCTGTAATGTTCTCTTCTGTGCCCTGTATATGAGAACAGCCACACCATTAAACTAGGGGTAGGAGACATTCGCAATTTGACTCAGTACACCAAGAAGAAACTTTCTTGTGGAGAAAGACAAAGACTAAATTTTCTCATGGCCTAAAATTAGGAAAGATGTGTTTTTCTTGAGGAGAACAGGACCCCATGGAAGCCCTGCCCTTCAAGCACCATGGGTACAAGAATAAACACAAGGTAGCTGCACAAGGGACTTTCTATCAAGCAGTTCAGGAGGCTGCAGGATACTACATTAAACAATTTAGGGAGGAGGAGGAGGCTCTAGAGGAGAAATCAGACCTTTAAACACATAGATGTTATCACAGATCAGAAGCAACAAAAAGGATGATTAGTAAAATAGATGGATTGGAAATAAAGTTCAGCTACAGATGAGAAGTTGTAAACCCAGAATATATTGAGAATAATAATCTAATACTGTGTTTCTACAATGGCCAACTGATTCCTTGCTCATGCAAAGTTTGAGGAAGACTATTTCCCTTGTAATTAGATAACGAAAGGAAAAATATCTGCAGCTGTGAAAGGCTTCTTACAGTAACTGTGAATCTCTCCCATTCCTGAATGAAGGGCTGTATTCATTGACTTTGAGAGAAGGAAGGAGGTGATAAAGACATGACACTTGAAGTTTTTCCAGCTTTTGGCTTCACTGCTGTTTCAGAGTGACTTCAGTATTTGCTGAGGCACTGTGACACATTTCACTGTAGTGGTACAGACTGTGCAATCCAAAGGTAATAGAAAGGCTTTTCTTTCAAACCAGTAAAAACTAAATATTTTGTGGAAATTTTCTGTCTATGCCTAGCTTACCCAGGAAACCTAAGGAGTAAAGTGGTGTTTAACTGGGATGGTTTTATTTATCAAGTGCTGCTGCATGCACTAAGAAGCCTCTCTATACATGTAAAAAGCTTTGGTCTTTAAATCCAGTTTCAAGTAGTTAAACTGAAGCAATTCTTTGCAAACAGATGAAGCAGGCACAACTAATTCAGCAATAGAATTGAAAAATTAATTTAAGTAGTGAAGATGACACCAGTTTAATTTTGGCTGTAATGAATGCTTGAAATTTTCAAGGTTTACTAGTTCTTTAAGTCTACATTTAATATATTATTGTTCTAATGAAGCACTTAGACATTAGTAAGAGTGATATTTGTGTTTAGTATAAGATACTCACTAACAGATCAGACAAACAAAGCAGTTACTCTCCCAAGAGAAGAAAATGCTAATACCATAATGGTTTTCAGTCCTTTTGACATATTTGCTTTGCCTCAAAGATTTCTGAAGCATGTTGTTCTGCTCTGTTGAGTGCTGCTTCATTAATATTATTTGCTTCATTGGCCCCTCCATCAACTGGTTTGGATGGTGGAGAATCAATGCCATCTCCTCTGCATCTGCTTCTTGTTTAAAATGCTGAGGATATCTCCTGTCTCATGAACATGTCTGCAGCTTTTCAGTAATTCCCATGTGATTGATGAGAATATATTCTACTTAATTTTGGGGGAAAGGGGTGTTTAGTCTTCACCCCACTTTTCTAATGCCCATATATACACAAAAAGTCAGCCCTGCAGTATCTATTACAGATTATTTCACTAAGCAACCAGCCAAGTCTTTGTTCTGTAATTTAGCAGAACAAAGAAACCCCGAACTTGGCCCCCCAGCCATTTTAAGCAAACATCTGTGTGAAACCATTGACTCACTGCAATGTCTTTAAGAGGAAATCTCATAAAACATATTGTGGACTCCTCACTGTCATCACTACAGTTGTTATGTTGTGTCAAGTGTATACTGATCTTATGTAGATCATGGTTTGGGGATTTTATTACCTAAAAATGCTTTCTCTGGAGAGTGAGAATGAACTGCAAGAAAAAAATCTGGATTGTCTTTTGCAAGTACACTTAGAACTGGTGA